ATAGACGTGTTCCCCCCAAGCAAGGCTTGGAATATTACCGTGCACTTAAGTCAAGGGGTGTTCCAACCCGGTAAGCATTTTGGGTAGAGATGCAAAAAATGGGGGTCCGCAAGAGGGTTTTATGAGACCAAAGAGACTGGAAATGTATGCAACTGGGAAAAAAAGAAAATAAAATGATAATCTGGGCAGAAGATGAGGCTGAGATGATGATGGAGATGGAGATGTGAGCAAAGTAATTGTATACTTGCTGATGCCTGTGTCTCTTTATCTTTCTAGGGTGCTGTGGTATCCAGGCGATAATCATGCGCTATCCAGTGTGGAGGCTGAGGCAGATTGTTTCATGAATATTGCACTCTGGCTTCTCCAACACTTGAAATAATGATTACAGAAATTTACTCCTTTTGGATGAGGCCAGTTAACAGAAATTCAAGTCTCTTCAATTTGAAAGAGCCTCTAAGTAGCTGATTGGTACTCTGATTCCTGGTCTCCAGAGTGTGAATAGGCACATAACAATGTCTGGTGTGCATCATCCTCTAGGTCATCTCAGTTGTGCTAGAGAGAGAAGCTACGCTGGCCATATCATTTTGCCAAATCTAGCACTTTACCAATAGTTCCACCTTTAGGGTAATTATTCAGAATAGTCAAATACTGGAGCACTGATAAATATTCCCATTAGATGTCAATAGAATCTCTGTATTTCATTTAAGTCATTGAAGCTAAACTGAAAAGAATGGATTTCAAAAATCAAGCTGAAGAATATATTCTTGAGATGTCTCTTATTAACTTCTGAAAAAACAAATTATCTAGTATAAATGCTGAGACTGGGAATGACTGGAATGCAATATTTTGAAGAAGAGATGTAATATCAGTACCTTGAAATTTAAAGGACAAAGTTATGATTCATAAAATGAAGTTTCTTGATGGCTTGGATTGGAGTGGCCTGATTTGATAATACACGTGAAAGTGATCTGGGTGTACTTGTTAACCACAAATTAAGCAGGAGCCAGCACTGTGATCCAGCTACTAAAAAGGCAAATGCTACCTCAGAGTGCATTAACAGGAAACACAATCCAGTCCATAGGAAGTAACTCTTCCACTTTACTCTGCCCTTGTCAAAACCCATTTGGAGTACTGTGTCTGGTTTTGAGCACCATAATTCAAACGGCATAGTGACAAGTAGAAACAAGTCCAGAGGAGGGCTACCAAGATGGTGAAGGATCTGGAAACTAAGCCCACATTTACCCTACAGAGAGACAACTAAGCGAAGATATAATAAGGGAAGATATATAACAGACTTCAGATATCTGAAGGGCTGTCTCTCGGACAAGGGAATCGATTTACACTCTGTTACTCCAGAGGGCAGGACCAGAACCAAGGGTTAAAACTACAATGAAGCGGGTTCAGGCTAGACATCAGGAACAACTTCTTGATGGTATGAGCTGTCCGCCAGTGGGAAGTTCTCCTTCACTAGGGGTCTTAAGTAGTAGTTGGAAGCTCTCTGTCACGCGTGCTGTTGTAGATCCAGGACTCAGCAGCAGGTTGGACTAGATGACCACTTTGCTCCCTTCCAAATCCGATTCTCTGAATCTATTTGACAGTGAACTTTAATAGCCATGGTAATAAGTCACAGCATTAAGCATTGCCTAGGAAAGAAGACAAATCCACTGCCAGCCTTAGAGATTGCTGTCACTGCAATCCTATGCACTAATACCTAGTAATAAGCCTTTTTAACACAGATTTGTTTCTGAATATGCATGTTATTTTTTCTCATGTGAAATAGGACATCACACATCTTTGTGCATAGTGAAAGAATTATTTAAAGGAAGTTAATTGAGAAAATAACATGTTATTTATTCTATTTATAAAATGTTGTCATTTTTTCCATCTGAAGGAATAATTACATTAAAATATACTGCCTCGTAGGGTAGTTTCTGATTTACCAAAGGCCAGTGATTTGAACAAGGACTTGAATCTCCTGTACTGTGTTGTTTCACACTGCACTGGTTTATTTTTTGTTTTCAGCAATGCTGCCCTGAGTAATTTATTACAGGGCATGGATTGTAAGAATGTGCTGTAAATGAAATTTCATTGACATTTTTATTGAAGTAACTGCTTGACCCTTGCCACTTGCTTCCAGGGCTGGATATTTCCTGGACTCTGTTTACTTTTCTGGTAAAAGGGAATGAGTTGAAGAGGATGCGCACGGGTGTGTTGGTGTGGGCAACTTAGCTGGGAGAATTCAGGTGTGTGTGTCGTTTGTACATACATACACATAGCACATATAATGCATACTTAAATGCAGATAGATATGCAAGGCTTCCACTGATCAAGTAATGAACCCAACATGGGATTGTGGATGTCCAGTTCTCCATAATAAGAATGTAAGCAGGTTATATTCTACCTAAGAAGAACTTAGCCTCTAGCTTCCATGTTTGTTGAAAGTAGTTCCTCCTTTTTTGTCAAAACAGTTTCAAGAGTGCTTTACAGATGAATCAAGTCAAAGAATCTTTGCCCGGGAAGACACAACATGAAAGGGCAAATAGGTGAAAAAGACAAAGAGAAAAAAAGGTTATACTGATAATGGTGTCTGGTTCTTGTAACTGGCTGAACTGAAATGGATACCTCTGTAAGCAGCTGGCATGAAAATTAATTCAAAGAGGAAAAGCCAAAAAATCAGCCTCAGCCTACCTAGTAGAATAACTAGTGGTTTTTCGTCAGTTTACGGTGGTCCTACTCCTAGGGGCGCTTTTTTTTTTTTTTAAAGCACGCCTATTTTATTTTTTTGAATATCTCAAAAATCACATCGCGTGCTCGCGCCGCGCCCCGTCTCCGCCCCCGTAGTTAACTCATTCCACTCCAGCTTCTCAGGTTCGCAGGACACACGGAAAGACATACTAGCCACTCTCTCCTCTCCGCCTTCCCTTCGCCTGTCAAGACGGGCATCTCTTCCTCCGCCCATTCCCACGTTTTGCTGTTTTGATAAGCGGTGGGTGGATTGTGTGAACGACCTCGGGAAGCAAAATATCCGCGCTTGGTCATTTAGGTTGGACGCCTGCGGCAGAAGGAGCGGCGGAGGGGAAAGCAACGCGCTGGCTTCTGAGGGGCCGCAGGCTGCGGTGCCGAACTCGCGCTCCGCCCGCAGGCTGCAAGGAAGGCGGGCGAGGTAGAGCCGGTCCCGCCTTTGCCAGCTGGCGGAGCCAATCACTGCGGCCCTCCCCCACCTCGTGCCCGCTGTTGTACTGCAGCGTTGGCCCTTCTGGAGCTGGGCGGACCCGCCTGGATCGCCGGCGCTTGCTCTCCCAGAGCTTGGACGGGCTTTGGGGTGGGGGGAGAAAAGGGGCCTTATGGCTTGCAACTCGGAACGCGCAAGAGAAGCGGTAGGATGACTTTGAAGGGGGGGAGTGGGAGGGAGACCTGGCCCCGCTGCGTCCCCGGGTGGGGACGAAGAAACGGGGAAGCAGCTCCTGAGTAGCTGCCCCTAACTCCTGGCGCACGTCGCTGCTGCCCTTGGTCACTTGCTTGTTCTCTCCCCAGCTGCCAGGGGGCTTAGGACGAATCGGGGCCCTGTACCAGGAACTGAGCCGCTTTCCGTCGGTGACTTATGCCGGCGTCGGAGCCGAGGTTGCTGCCCGCTGTGGCGCCAAGTGCCTGCCCCTCTACACGGGTGAGCCAGTTCACTTAGAGCCCCTCTTTCTTGCTCCGCTGGTCCGGGACCCTTAGAGTAGTTTACGCTGGGAAGGGAGCGGGGTTGCTCTCAGGTTCCCTCAGTTTGCCAGCTTTTTTGAACTACCCACGGACGAGGTAAGGAGTTTGAGGTACTTTTAGAATTTGGCAAACGGACGGGGAGATGGGCTGGCACAAGGCCCGACTGATGAATAGGCAACTAGTCTCTGGAGGAACTTTCCCCAGGCTGTGCCTTCCACACCTTATGACTGAGGATGATTGAATCTTGGGGGGGAAATCGTGGGCACAAGTTTTGAATGGGAAAATAAAGTGTGTGCATGTCTCTTGAGTGTTAATTTTGTTTTGTCAGATCCACTTTATTGTTCACCCTGATAGCTGAAAATGTAAAAGATCTGTAAGCCCTAGTACTAAAAGTCAAAGAAACCAGTGAAAAAATGGGACTAAAATTAAATATAAAGACCAAACTAATGACAACAGAGAACAACCAGCCTTAGAACTGACAATGAAGATATCAAAGTGGTGGATAGCTTCTGCCTTTTAGGATCAACCATCAACAATAAAGGAACAAGCAGTTAAGAAATACATCACAGACTAGCAGTAGAGCAGCCATGAAGGCCTTGGAAAAGATATTCAAATGCCAAAATGTGTCTATACAAAGATCAGAACTGTGTAAGCCCTGGTATTTCCTGTGACACTCTATGGAAGCGAAAGCTGGACTTTGAAGAAGCAGGATAGGAAAAGTATTGACGCCTTTGAGCTTTGGTGTTGGAGAAGACTCCTGAGAATACTGTGCCAGCCCAGAAAACAAACTGATGGGTCAAACAAATCAACCCAGAGTTCTCACTCGAGGCACAAATGACCAAGCTCAAATTTTCCTACTTCAGACACATTATGCAAAGACACCCAGCTCTCTGGAAAGATGGAAGGAAAGAGGAGAAGGGACGACCAGCAGCAAGGTGGGTAGACTCAGTTACAGTGGCAATGAGTGCATTGTTGGGAGACTTGAAAGACCAGGTTAGGGATAGATCGTTATGGAGAAGATCTATCTATGTGATCGCTAGGAGTCGAAAATGACTTGATTACATATAATCACTTTACTGTTCAGTTCCTCAAGTAGGGGTTTAAAACTAAATGCTCTGGACTTTACAGAAGTTGAGCTTTAGACTTCAGATCAAAGCTTGTTAAATATGGAGCAGTATAGCTTCTTATCTGAATTTCTACACAACCAAAACTACAAGAGCAATTGACCTAGCAGCTCATACGAACAGTATTACTGGCCTGACCCACCTCAGTTCTCTCTTTCATTGGAGGTATGAGTGATATCAAAAGAGAAAAGAGTGCCCTTCATATGTTGCTGTGTGTTATATTTATGTGATCTGCTTGTGGAAAAATGATGTAGAAATATAAATGAAATAAAAACTTTCTCCATTTGGGACCTTGTGGTCTTTTTTTTAGAAAATGAGGAATTGGCCCAGTCTTGCAGAAACTCACACATACATTGTAATTATGTGCAGTGCAAACAGCTGACCTTACAGTATAAGAATAACAACGAGCCAACCCACACATCTCAAGTTTGCAGTTATTTCCAAATCAAGGTATGGTGTCTAATTAAAAAAAAAATTGTTGCATATGTTGAAAGAGAAGTAATTGGCTGCTCCTTTCGCATATGGTGAAGAGACTATATATAATGCCACAGTGAGAAATAAATATTAATAGCAGTGTGGAATCTCGTGGTATGAGTCACCTTGTGTGAGGTGGGTGGCTATATAAATATGATAAATAAATGTTACAAAACAACATATTAGCAGGCCTTGTTACTTTTTCATGAACACAGACCCTAATGAGAAAAAAAGGTTGAGGAATGGAGCTCCACAAAATAACTTCAAATCAAATCCGAAATATTTGCACTGGAGTTGCGCAGGGAGCTCACCACTTCTTTTAGATACCTGTTTTGCTGCTCTGCATTTGTTTTTTCTGTTCTGCTTATCCTTGTATTTTTCCCATCACCCTCTCTTTTTCCTTTTGTGGACATTTACAATGTCACATTTTGACACTCTCAGAGTCAGTTCTGCATTTAAAGTACATAAAGTAAAGCTGTGGGTGAAGGATGATAACCTCATCTGTTACTGCATGAAGAATTTTATTTTTTTTCCTCTAGACTTTTTTTGCTTGACATTTAATGAAAAAATTTCCATCTAAAATTTTATGATACGATAATTGTATCATTCGTTATGAAAAGATCTTTGTGTCAGTCATGTCAAGTTGTAGAAAGAGCTTACAAAAATGGAAATCCAAGAACATTTCTTTTTGCTCATGTGAAACCTATACACAGATCAGGAAGCTACCATACAGACAGAATATGACAAAACAGACTGGGTCAGGATTAGCATAGAAGTGAGATAAGTCAGTATACTCTCTCCTTATTTATTTAACTTATATGGTGATATATATATTGAAGGAAGCTGGATTGGAAGAAGATGAGTATTGTTTTAAAATAAGAGGAAATATTAATAACCTGCACCATGCTGATATCTCTACTCTGATAGCTGAAAATGCAAATGATCTGTAAGCTCTTGTAATGAAAGATAAGGAGCACAGTGAAAAAACGGGGCAAAGATTAAATATAAAAAAGACCAAACTAATGACAACAGGTACAACAACCAGCCTTAGAATTGACAATGAAGATATTGAAGTAGTAGGTGGATTCTGCTTTCAGGATCAACTATCAACAGTAAAGGAATCAGCAATCAAGAAATATGCTGCAGACTAGTATTTGGTAGCACTGAAGGCCTTGGAAAAGTTACCTATGAAGATTAAAATAGTGTAGGCAATGGTTTTTCCTGTGATACTGTATGGAAATGAAAGTTGGACTTTGAAGAATCAGGATAGAAAGAATATTGATACTTTTGAACCTTAGTATTAAAGAAGACTCCTGAGAATACCATGGATAGCCAAGCAAACGAACAAATGGATCATCAAACCAATCAACCCAGAATTCTCACTCTGGGCAAAAATGACCAGGCTCAAATTAGCCTACTTCAGACACATTATGTGAAGATCTAGCTCTCTGAAGAAGTATATAATGCTGAGAAAGGTGGAAGAAAAAATGAGAAGAGGATGACCAGCAGCAAGGTGGATGGGTGGAATTATAGTGGCATTGGGTGCACCATTGGAAGACCTGTTGGGGACAGTACCTTCTGGAGAAAATCTATCAATGTGGTCACTGTGTTAACACTAACTTGATGGCACATCATCAATTAATCGTATCGGATTTTTAATATATTTGAACTCAGGAAATTTTAAAGTATAAAAACATTAAATAATCAAATGTAAATGGGAAAGTAACATAATATGTCATGGAATTGCCATAGACTTGTAAAAGTTAAATGACCTATCTAAGCAAAATATTTAGATGTAAATTGCTGCCTTTTATGTTAGCTTTAGCATAGATTTTTTTCCTGCCAATTTCTCCCCCCCTTTTTTTTTTTAGGATGATGTACTTCTCCATCCTTTCCCAACTATCTATTTAGTCACTGCAAAGACAGCAATATTATATACCAGGGAATTGGGCAAGCATAAGCTTTCTCACTCAGCTTCCTCCTTTTCTGCAGAGTGGTACCAACCAGATCTGGAGCGCCATCAACAACTGCTCTTCAGTCGCCAATATATCCTGCACATTGATGGCAGAGCAGTTGTCTCAGTTACTCCTGTTGGTGTGCCAGCTGAGATTCACAATCAGTATGTACGACATCTACTTTCCCTCATACCTTTATCATGTTTTAGAAGTTCTGGCCCAGCTTATTTTATTTTATTTATTTATTTAAATCAATGTATATGGCCGCCTATCTCACAAATGCCACTCTGGTTGACTGGCAAAGATTAAAAATACCCAGAGCATGCTCTCCCTACCTGACCTGATAGGATATTTAGAAACAGTGGGAGTAAGGTAGTCCTTCAAATACCCTGGCCACTGCTTAGTTTGTACTTATCCAGGCATAGTAGAATAGTTATTGGAGTAAGGATAGTTAGCTTTCCTTAACCATAAAGATAGGCAATAGAGTTCAAAGTAGTGAGGTGAGGTCTTATTTCTCCCTGCCATCAGCTGCATACACACTTAGTTTCATGTTGTACCAGCCCAATTCCTGCTGACTACAACAGGTACCACTTCATCAAGTTCACAGCAAAGGCCTTTCCCAGCTGCCTGAAATCCTTCAGCCAGAGACAGTGGGGGGTCATAGGATTGTATAGGCATCAGCCATGAATTCTCTTCCCTGAGGATCCCTAAAGTATGTAGAAAAGAATAAGCTTACCTCTGTGTTTCTCTAGTAAACTGCCTCCAAGTTGGCTCTTTTGTTTATGCTGCTCCCTCTTTTCTCTTGTACTACAGGCTGCTGACTAGAATGTCTCCTACTGGGAAGTATAAAGCTATCCTCACCTGTTACTTGGAAATGGGGCAGAAACAGGAGGTTCTAGAGGTAAAGTTGTATGCGCATGACAGCAAAGTATGTGCTATCTGCGGCTGTTTCTTCCTACCTCCAAAGAGCAGGGACAGCACTGAAAATGTTGCATGCTGCAACTGAGCTATATAGGTATAGCAGGGATAATGTTGCTGCATCCTTGCTTTTATAATAGTCAGAACTGGATACTATGGCCTTGTCATTTAACAAGGAAGGAGCTTGATATCACCTTTTCTTTAACATGAACACCTTTCCTTTCATGTTAAAGAAAAGGTGTTATCAAGCTCCTTCCTTATTAAATGGCAAGTCTATAGTATCAAGTTCTGACTATTATACTGGATACTATGGATACTGATCAGGAGGTTCAATAAGGACAAATAAAATATTTGTTGAATGAAACCTTATAGAGTAGGTGCTGGGCTTTGATCTAAGAAATCTGTAAGGAGTTTGCATAGCTAGGGTCAAATATATATGGAAACTGGTCCTTTGCAGTAATGTACTGGGCATATGAGTCATGCTTGTCCCACCATGAATGGTAATTGTTCTACCAAGGAGACCTAGAGTTACAGATCTTAATAGGGAAATGAATTACAAGTAGCTCTGTGTGCTTCACTGTCACCGTTCATTTTCTTGGAGCCCCTCATCACTCCCAGCTTTTTCGGTCACAGCAGTGGAACCAGGAGGAGGAATTCTGATGAGCCTGTGGATTTGGCCTCAGTGTGTGGTGGCAGATTTTGCCCTGTACTGATTTCTGTGTCCCAGCAGGTTTGGAGCAACAGTGGGAGGGTAAGAAATGTCAATCTCACAGCGCTGGATAAACATGGCAAAGTGTACACAGATGGTAAGGGCAGTAACAGTAGGCTTGGCCGCATGCTGCTCTCTGCAGGCTTAGCACTGATGCTTCCTCAGCCCTGTGAGCTCTGCACTCTACCAGCATAGCACTTGGTCATGCTCTTTCTTCCTACTAACATCCTTTTCCCAGTGCCAGAATGAAGTTGTCCTAGCTGTCCAATGTTATGTACTTTCCTCTTCCTTGCCTTTTCTGCAGCGGTGGGTTTTGTAAAGAGCTTTGCTGGCTATTGCAGCCTGGAGATTGCAGGCTTTGAAATCTTGGTGGCAAATTCTGGGTGAAATCCTGTTATGAATGTGACCCATACTCTCCTGCTGCTTTGTCAAGTTAGCTGTATTAATCCAGCTACAGTACTGTATTTTGTGAGACACAAGTCTTCCTGATCATGGAGGTTAAATTTTTGAACAAGCAAGTATAGATCTAGGCCAGGGATCCCCAAAGTGGTCAGTATTGACTCCCAGGAATTGATGGGACTATCCAGGGGGTTGATAAATGGCTGGGGATCAAAACGGGATCATTAAATGTCTGGAAGTCAGTAGGTGGTTGATAAATGATGGAAAGTTGATTGGGGTCAATCTTTTGGGGTCCCTATAGAGCTCCATGTCAGTCCCTAGTTCTGATGGTGAGGTGCCTAATGGCAACCCGGTTACCCAGGGTTGGATGGTCAGCCACCAGCAAGAGCACCCTTGAGTTGTCTATCAGCTGTGTGTTGTTACTGGCCTCGTTTATCTATTATTATTGTTGGATACATAGCCAGATATTTAGACTGGATTTGGTATTTTTATCCACCTATTGAGTCCTTCCCAAGGTGTTTGTTGTTATTAGTTGTAGTACTATTAGTTAAAGTAGTATTCATTAAATTATTTTCATATAATAAATGTTTGGGGGGGTCAATGAACAATCTGAAACTTCATGAAGGGGTCAATGAGCTGAAGAGTTTGGGGACTCCTGGTCTAGGCTATTAGTGTTGCTTTAAATTAGTCTTAAAGTATAATTATATATACATACTTGCATATAAATACATCAAGTGAAGTAAATTTAATAGAACTTTGTCCAGATAAATGTACATAGGATTGAAACTCAATCCTGTGCCCCTCTCTAGCCTTACTTACTTACTTACTTACTTACTTACTTA